ACCCTTCCACTCTACAAGACAGGTACCAATACATCTAAGAGGGTATATGAATCAAGGGCTTAAGGTTAGAGATCTCTTAGTACATGAGGGAAGGGAATGAAATTTAGAATTGGTGGGCCATTTGCCAGATTGGTGTGGGCCATTTCCACAATACCAACACCCCCAAAAGGTCAGTGGTTCAGGTCTCTTTACTCCAACTTATACTGGGTTCTAGCACAAAAAAACGATATGATAAAAGAGTTGCAAGAGGAAGATCACACCCCTTGGATAATATGGAGATTATGGAAAAACAGAAACAATTTGTTATTCAAGGGAGTCGAACTTCAGGCTTAGATGATGGTAAACAGAGCAAGGGAAGATACAGAAGAATGGAAGAAAGGACTTAGGTTAGAAGAAAACAGTACCATCGCCAACCAACCTCACAATAAGCTTACAAAATGGCAGTCACCTACTTCGGGTTCCCTTAAATGTAATGTAGATGGAGGTTGGAGGAAAGATGGTACACAAAGTGGGCTAGGATGGATATTAAGAGACAAGAAAGGTATGGTTAGATGGTTGGGAGCCAAGAGCTGTCCGCATGTGCGCTCAGTGATAGAAACAGAGGCTGGAGGACTCCGATGGGCTATGATCATGATCAGTTCGTTTGGCTACTCTTCAGTAATTTTTAAAACAGATTCAAGATCCCTAGTGAACGCGGTGCATCACCCAGAGGATATGCTTCAGCTCAACCCGATTATACAGGATATCATTCATCTCATAAATCTCTTTGACGAGGTAAAAATCATTTTTAATCCTAGAGAATGTAATAGTGTGACGGATAGAATAACGCGAGAAACTATTTTCCATGAGAGTTTTGCTCCCAAACTCTATTCTTAGTGCCAAATTAGGTTGTAAACGAAGTGGAAAAAAAATTAATTGGGTAAAACATTTTAGTTGAGTTTAATTTTATTGTTGTTGAGCAAAAAAAAAATATCCGCAAACCTCTCGCCATTAGCGAAAATTTGTTATAAAAAAAAAACTCTCTATGTAATAGCATTACATTAAAATCGATGTATAGAGAGTTTTTTTGTTTCATTATTATAGTAATAAATTTCACATTTCACAAAAGAAGAGTTATCGTTGAACGTGTGACTTTGTGAGCGTGTGACGCGGCGTGAGAAGAGGGCTCATGTGTGGAAATGTGGGTCCCAGTGAGAGACACGTACACGTGAAATCGACGGTGCGGCATGGGGTCCACGGGAATTAATATGTGTAGTTTCGACACGTGGATATTCTTTGTCTTTTTTATTAATTAAGTGA